CCCAATAATGCAACTAATAATGCATAAATGACGATAATATAATGCATGGCATATAACTAATAAACCTTTAATTCAATTTCTGGGAAAATATAAGTATATAGGTATATACGGAAAACCAAAAGCCCACTCACTGATAAGTGGAAGGGTCGTAGCCCCCCTGCCTCGAGTGACCACGCTCGTCCTCGGGATATGTCTCACCTATATGCGAAATAACTAAAAAAACGTTAATTTTAAAGCACATAACCAAACTTTCGAAATAACTTCTCATACATTGCTCAAATGGGGTGTATGAATACACCAACGTGATCTACTCAACCTCACGAACATCCACAAATTTTTAGAAAAAATTTTCACCGCCGCACGCGCCCCTACGCGCCGGCCAAGGCACGACCACACGCGCCAGCCACGCGCAGGCACGTGCCTAACACGCTGACGGCATCAACTGACGCCGTTAGGAATATTCCATTATCCCTAACGGATTCCGTCAACGGCGTCAAGAATATTCCGTCAGACTTGACGAAATATTCCGTCTTCTTCCCCGACGAGCCTCCGGCGACGTCGCCAGCGCCGGAAAACTGGAAAATTTTTAAAACGTCCTAACTCCTTCGTTTTTCAACCAAATTCCACGATTTTGGTACCAAAATGAAGCCTAGAACTATTGGAACACAACCATACAACTTTTAAGGGCTAAAAACCACGAAATCTCACCTGAAAAATCGAACCAACTCCGGCCAACTTTGAAACTAACGATCCCGACGTCCAATTCCTTCAAAGAACTACTCCGAGCCTCTTTGGGACCTCACCAAGCTATCTACAAGCTTCATTTTTCCTAAAACGTGAGAAATCACGTGTGCATGAATAGTACCCAAATCGGACATCGTCGAATCGACATGAAAACGTTGGAGTTCTTACCTGGAAATGGTATGGTTGGACTCGTACGAGCCTCACGAGCTCGAATATGTGCTTGGTTCCTTCGATTTGTGGAGGTTTAGTGTGCTTGTGTGTGTGTCCGTACGTTTTCGAAGAAAAAGGGAAGGAATGGGGCTCGAGACAGGTGCAGAGAAACAGGGAGAAAGGTGCAGAGAAACAGGGAGAAAGGTGGTTGAAGACAGAAGACGAACCCAAAAACCAGGCAACCAGAGTTTGCTTCTTCTTTGATTTCTCCGGCCACTCTCTAGTTCAAATTTAATGTTTTTGTTTTGGTTGGATGTTTCAACAATGGATATCAGCATGGGTTGATATGTAATTTGAACTTGTTGCTTATGTGTATAGATGCTGGTATTTACCATAGGGGGTGTTAAGGGGGTGCGAAAGGTGTAGTCGCACAGGGCCTTCACATTTTTTGTCACCTAATATTTATATGTAATAATATTCTATATTTAAAATTGCTTTTGTTATGAAATAATGTTCTATATTCAAAAATTGATTTTGTTGGCACGTTAAAATCTTATCTTACACTCCTTATAAGAGTAATTTTTTTTTCTTTCTAAATACAAAAATTTAGAGTACAATAAGATATTTTGAGTGTCAATAATACATCATAAAATACGGTATTTTTTCAATATTATTATATAATAATGTTACATATTCAAGTGAAACTTTAAAGTTAGAGTTTTTGAAGTTCGTTTTCTTCTTTGGTTGTTTAAGATTGAACTGCTTTTGATTATTTAGTGAATGTTATGTTTGCAACTCCTTTTACTTATTATTAATGATATTTTTAAACTTACATTGACCTACATTTTTTAAGACTTATCTTAAGAAGGGGCACATTTATAAATTTCGCACAGGGCCCCCAAAATCTCAGAGACGACCCTGATATTTACACAAGTGTGGAAGAAGAATTGATGAAGGGTATTCTATAAAGGGTATCGAGTTTGAACAGTAGAAAAAAAAAAGGCCCAAGGTCTATCATTGAGCTATCTAAAATTATTCTTTACTGGTGCAATAATTTTAGAGACAAGCTCGAAGCGGAACGAGAGTGCTAATGAGGAAATTTTAGGAATAAAAGTGGTTGAGGAAAGAGCATTTTAATTTTTTAACTTTTTATGGTGGATAAGATTATGATGTGGGTGGAGAAATATGACAATAAAGTGGGTCTAGTAGCTCTCTAATTTTATTACCATGTATTCATTCGTGCCAATTTTTATTAGCATGTAAAATTTTGCGCCATATTTTTCCCTCCAAAACTAATTTCCCACCATATTTTCCCCTCCAAAACATATTTTCCTTATATGCGTCTGTTTGGACCCGATTTTACACTATCGGCCTGAGTAATCGAGGTCATTGGATGAGTAGAATTTTAAACCGTTGAATGACAAAGTGGTTGAAATGATTTTCAATTATTATTGATAAATAATGTCGTGATTTTAATCATGATATTATCTCGTAGTAATATGTTAAATTATTTAAACCTAATTTTTGTCTAAATCCCAACTAATTTGACAACATGGAATATTGGGATATGCACAACATCAATTGGATGGATGAGTGTAGGTATGGTTAGATCATGCAGAAGCCTAGATAGGCTTGGCTTTTGGTGGTGATATGACAAGCCTAGGATTTGATGGTGATAGAGGTATGATGAGGTAAGAAGCCTAGATAGGCTAGACTTTTGATGATGACGTTTGAAAAGTCATGATGCATGGATGGGATGAAATTATGAGATGGTGATAATTATAAATGAATTTAATATTCATTTAGATAAAGCCTAGGAACATAGGTTTTCTGGAAGGCTAGGTTTTTAATGCATGTTTCTCGGGTTGGTGCTGTGAAGATGGATGAAGGAAAACAAGTGGTGAAGCCACGTCACCAAAGATCAAATGCAATCCTTTAAAGATCAAGTCACGTCAGATACATGGAATTTGAAATAGGACTCTACCGAGGATCAAGCCGTGCCAAGCAAGTACATTAGTCCTATAAATACATATGCAATGGCAACGGAAGAAGGACCTCCAATTCAACACACAACTGCCCTGCGCAAACCTCTCAAACACTTTGAGATTTTTTATTTTCTTTTTCCGCCAACACACATTCAGTTTGGATAAACAGCATTGTGAAGGCAATCGGCGAACATCTTCAGTTTGGATAAACAACACTGTTGCCGTAGAATCAGCCGTTCCCAAAGCACCTTCAGTTTGGATAAACAGCGTTGCGTCGAGGCCGACTGGTTATCTATCCAAGTCTCGGTCGAGAAGGATTTTCGAATCCTTATTAACAGAGGTCATCTCATTAGCCATCTCGGCGAAATGAGATGTTACAGGTTATTACATTCGGCACATTGAAAGCCGAATTTGATATTGAACTTCGCAGAACTAGCAACCTTGTCTTCAGACTCTGGAACCCGAAGGCCGAGATGTGTTCCTTCCTCGGCCCTAGTCGCAAGATAAAGAAGTCAGCAACGCGCTCAACGCAACATCAACAAATTTTACTCCTCGGCCGAGCTCGGCCGACGAGTTGGCACGCCCCGCATTCAACCGAAGGATGTAGTTAGCTTATTAGTTACTCGGCCTACTCGCCACGTAGGCTTTGTGATTTTTAAGATCAACAGCTTCCCACCAAAATATATTGCCCAAGACATTAGTTTCTTTCCAAAATGGGTTTTAATATTCAAACTTATTGTCTAATTCATAAGAGATTCATGATAAATGGCGTGAATTATAGTATCATAAATTAGTATTATCCGCTACTTAATAAAGTTTTACGTTTTTACATGACGATCGTATCATAAAATTGTCTCAAATAAACAAAATTTTAATAAAAAAATAATTACATAAAAACATCTCTTAACATGAAAATTCAAAATCCTATGTAAATTAAACTCTGACAAAGAAAAAATAGTGACAAAAGAACATGGATAAAATTGTAACCAAGGGAGGTTGGGCATGTATTGAGTTGTTTTAAATTTTATTTATTTTTTTAGGAGGATTTAATGTCGATTTTATTAGAAGAAATTGTAGCAATGATCCTTCAATTTTAATCCAATTACAGTAATAGTGTAACATCCCACATCCCCCAGGGAGTGAATCCTGTAAACCTTATATGTATATTCCCATCTCTACCTAGCACGTGGCCTTTTGGAAGCTCAGTGGCTTCAGAGTTCATCGGAACTCTGAAGTTAAGCGAGTTCGCGCGAGAGCGATCCCATGATGGATGACCCACTGGGAAGTTTTCGTGTGAGTTCCTAGAAACAAAACCGTGAGGGCGTGGTAGGGCCCAAAGTGGACAATATCGTGCTATGGTGGAGTCAAGCCGGGGATGTGGTGGGGGCCCGGGGCGGGATGTGACAAATAGTCTCTCAACTAAAAATTCATGACCATTGATCCCTTAATTCCTTAAAAAGTGCAGTTATGATCTTTTTCATCAACTCCGTTTGAACTTTCGTCAAAAGAAAAAATAATAACAAAAGAACATGAATAAAATGGGATCCAAGGGAGGTTTGGCATGTATTGAGTTTTTTAAATTTTTATTTTTTAGGATGATTTAATGTCACTTTTATTTGAGGAAATTGTAGCAATGGTGCTTCAACTTTAATATAATTAGAGTAATGGTCTTTCATTAAAAATTCATGACCATTAGTTCCTTAACTTCTTAAAACATGCAATTATGGTCATTTTTATCAACTCCGTTAGAACTTCTGCCAAAATGAGTCACATGTCACGCACATGAGACTGAATCGAGGGGTAAATATGAAAAATCAATGAGAAAAATTGTAGTAAGGGTCCCTCAACTTTAACCCAACTAGAGAAATGATCCTTCAATTTTAACTCAACTGGAGCAATGGTCCTTCAACTTTAACCCAACTTTAGTAATAGTCCTTCTAACATAACTGCTTTAGCTGCACGTTTTGATGAGTTAAAAGACCAATGATCATGAATTTTTAATTAAAAATTATTTCTCTAATTAGATTCAAATTTAAAAACCATTGTTACAATTTTCTCATTTTATTATTAGGCAAAAAAGGAATGCTCAAGGAGTGAGTCTTGCAAACCGCCAAAAATAAGGTGGGGGGAGTGAGTTGCGAGGAAAGTGGGTACGGGCTCCTATGTAAGTCTTAAGAAGAACGAGTCGAGCCACTCAGATCTAACTGGAAGAACCAAAGCACCCAACTGGTAACAAAAACGACACACTGACTCAGTTCACATTTCACAAACCACTCTCTCTTCTGCTTGCGGCTGCTCCAACTGCTTCTTCTGTTCTCCAACTCTCTGCTCTCTCTCTCTCCTCTTTCTCAGGTTACTCCAACTTTCTCTGTCTACTTGTTTTTGTTCTGAACTGGAAACTCGATGAGTCTTACTTGGCTGCTGTTCTGGGTTTTTATTTATTTGTTTATTAGTTTCTTGAAATTAGGGTTGCCCGGTTACTTTTTGGCTGGGAAGATTGAAATCTTGAGTTTTCATTAGGAGTTTAATTCAAAGTTCTAATCTTTAATTTTCATGTTAGATAATCGTTAATTGTGTATCATGTTCAGAGCATATGGTTTATCTTTTTAGATTTAATTTCTTTAATAACTTCTCTGGAACCCATTAATTTATCGATTTCTGTTATTTTTTTTCACCAGTTTTTAATATAAATTTCGATTCTTTGACATGGGTTTTATCTGAATTTTGCTGCCAAATTCTAATTTTAATAATTAATTTACCATTTCAGCTGCTACCCTTTGTTTGGATTAATGGGTTCTGGAGGTTGTACCAATGGACTGGAAGAATGCAAACTGCAACCTCCGAAAACTGTGGAAAAATCGGATAAAGCTAGTGTTTTGGGGCTTCATAAGGACGCTGCAGAGCCACCGGTTGAATTGGTTGCTAATGGGGTGGCTTCTCTAGAGCCTGTTACTCCTAATGCAGTCCGAGAGAACGGTGACTTACCTGTTGGTTTGAAATCTCCGCCCTCTGTTTGCAAGAAATCATCCAATGTAACTTGCTTGAATCCGAATGCTATCCGAAATGGGGACGACCCATTTGGTTGTTCTGATGATAGCAGCCCCAGGACACCGGTGGGTGATGTCTTCGATCCTTTTGCCCCTGCTCGGGAAGACCTGCTTAAGGCGCCACAGTGCAAAAAATATGTCAGCAAGTGCAGGGGCATGGTTGCTCGTCAGCTTAACTTTGATTCTCCCGTCCAAATTTCAGAAGACGAGGTTTTGACTGATGTGGAATCCATTTCGTATGAAGAAATGTTTGAAGCTGTGTATAAAAACCTATTGGAAGCTATCGTGTCAGAGCAAACTGAGGGAGCTATTGCTGACCACTCGAGGAAAGATTGCGTTTCTGATGACTGCGTAACACCTCGTCCAGAACCGTGTCAAACTGGAGCAGCTGAAACTTGTCCTGGGGCACCCCTGAGGCCATCAGGGAAGTCAAGGAACATCGATATGCGGTTAATCAGAAAGCTCGAGTTCTAACTCCAATTGACTCATGCGGGTTACGTGGTGGTGAATTTGCAAGAATTCTGGTACTTCTTTCCAAATTCCAACAGCTTACCTAGATTATACACAGTAGTGCTAGCATTGTATAGTAGTTGTTGACATTATTTATGCGTTTAGACACAGGGAAAGACATCGTTTTGATATTAACTTAGTATCGACTCGTACTCTTTTGGTTTAAGTCAGAATTTTAGACACAGGGAAGAAATGAAACAGAAAATTCTTCCAACCTCATTGATCATGTACTGAACTTATTCATGTTCAATGGTTTTCTTATCAATTTCCATGTGCTCGAAATCTCTGCGCTTTAGGATTTGGAGTTATATTTTGATGATTGGGAATGTTTGTCTGCGTATTTTACACTTTAAATGTTGTTGGATGATAACTTTAAGAAATCATGTTTAATGTCCTGTGACTAAAATTATGGTTTTTGTTTGTTGCTTTTGGCTTCTATTTGAATAGAAACAAACCTCTATGAGGCATTGTTTTCACATGAATATTTGGGTGGTGTTGTTCCTAAGAAGAACGCTTGTTCTTTCAAATGAAATAGATCCGAGTTTATATTTTCTTTTCTGTTTACATACTGAGGAAATCTTATTTTGGTAAATCATATATTCTCTTCAAAATCCAATGTGGATGGAGGAGCATTGAAAGTAGGAGAAATAACTTACAACAGAAACGTAAGGTTGACGATATGCCAAACCAATCATATAGACTGTAGTACCATGCGGCCACATGAAAGCACATGGCAGTGTGTGACACGCTTGGAATACCATCACTACTTTGGCATCCAGATTCCCTTTCTGTTTTATAAACTTTTGAGATCATGGACAGAAAGTTCGCACGAGTGTTGTATGTTCAGGCTGGTGGGTAAGCTTTAGAAACTAGAAAGGCTTGTGCCTGCTTATGAATCTTATGTCGTATTATGCTTTCCAGCACAGCAGATTGTGTATGCAGCAAACCAAGTTGTGCCCGTGAAGTCACTAATCAGAACGTTGGCACATCAAATATAATATAACCAAAATCTAAACGAATTTCCATGTATTTTTATTCTGTTTTCGTACATCAAATTCTATGATTAAGATAAAAAAAATTGTAAAACTTGTATCCTAAAATTCATCCTAATTAACTCCCTCTGATTAAAACCCTACAAATTTACATGCTATTCTCTCCGTGTTTTTGCTACAATCTGCACCTTCTTCTCAGGAATCATTGAGAAGCAAAAGCAAAGTAATAAAAACTCACACAACTCACAACTTGGCCTTGCTCTTGCAATCTTGCCTCTTCACCTTCATGTCCGGAAACCCAATCGTCAGTTGGCATTCTGAAATCGCTACAGCGTGCTTCTTGATGAACCCCAAGAACGTAACCCTACCTGGAATCCTTGTTTTCGTTTCGACCATAATCTCACCCCCCATCACATCACTGATCAATTTGCTCATGTCGTTCGCCAGCTTGTCCGCCTGTAAAGTAAGCCGGCAGGGCAGCATGGCGTTGCCCCTCGCTGGGATGTTACCCGGGTACAAGTTTGCATCCCCAACCTGTGTGCCTTGGTAAAGAAGCAAAGTCTTTCCCTCGCCGTGCCTGAAGCTTGCGTGGTTTTGATTCTCGACATTGATCGTGAGGTAGAGGGTAATGTTGAGTTCGATCCGGACAGCTGGGAAGGTGATGCGAGGAGCCACACCGTCCACGGAGGCGGAGAGGATTTCGGTTTTTGGCTGTTTGGGCTTAAAAACGGTTAGGGCAAGAATCAGGGCGATGATGAAGAGTAGGAAGATCAAGAATATGATAGCACCAATGGCAATAAGACATGAGCGTTTACGCTTGTTGGGTTTGTTGTGGTTGCTATTTTCTGGCATGGTGTGATATTCTTTTATGAGAGAGAGCGCACAAGAGAGAGATCAGGAGAAGGTGAGAGAGGGAGAGTGACTTATAGAGAGAAGAATATTTAGGGTTCCAAGGTGGTTGGGGATTGGGACTTTTGATTTAATGCTCAAATCCAACGGTCAGTTAACACAACTTTGAACTGTATCGAACAACTAACTTCAGCTTTTTTCGGGTCACCATCTTTAAATTGCTCCCCACACCACCTATGTTTTACTTTATAACTTTAATTTACAAAGAAATGGTTCGAACGTATATTTTGATCAACAAATTTAATAGCTTATTTTTTTAAAAGTACAGAGAGATTTTAAAATCAGGTAAAAATAATAACATAATGTTTTGTCTTGACCAACATGCCTACCCGGCTAACCGATATCAGATCAACAGACCAAATTTTTTGTTCTGCAGTTTTATCAAAACCCCTTTTGATGGAATTTTAGTATTTTGCTTAATTTCTCTCATTTCCGTCGCATGTTTTCCTTAATTTGTGCATGCAATCCTCTTAATTTTTTATCAAATTACTGAAATCTAACCGTCATTTGTTGTAACAGCAGCATATCTTAAAGACTTTTAAGGCGAGATTAAAGACAAGGGTAAAGATTGTGGTCAAAGCAAAGAGAGGGAAAACTTCAGACACGATCTTATTTGACATGAAAAACGACAAGCGCATGTCATGCATTGATTCACATTGCATAATCTGTGCAGAGTTCACGTAAGCAAGGAGGACTTTTGGGGTAGAGAGTGCATTTTTGCAAAAAAATCCACCTAAGCAATTTAATGCTAGTTTGGTATTGTTATGTTTTTTAAAAAAAATTGTTTGTACTGTGATGTAAAAATAATCAGTTGTAAAATAAAGTAGTTAAGTGTTTGGTAAACTTTTATTGTAAAAGTACTTTTAACAAAACAAACAATGTTCAAGTGTTTGGTAAACTTTATGGTAAACTTTATGTAAAACTGCTGTAACTATGTTAAATGGTTAAAAGGGTATAATGTTAAATGTGATATAATAATTTATTTTATTTATTATTTATAATTTTATCTTCAATCTTCATCATTTTCGGGTCACAGCTCAAGATCCAAATCCCTCCCCTCCAACCCTTTATTCTCTCCCCTTCCCAATCACCAAAATCGAACGAGATCCAATTGTTAAAACCTAAAATACCTGACGGGTGACAGTGATTTCAAAATGGGCCTCGTATCCGAGAGGACTACAGGCGCAGTTAGAATTGTCGAAGACTATGGAGACGGTGGCCTTGGTGATTCCGCCCTGGCCCTGCTCGTAAACAAGCTCCTGGAGGTTGGCGGCGCGAACTTGCTGCTAATTGGTAATTCCCAAGACAAAGCAGATGGAGTCGAGGATGTTGGACTTGCCCGATCCGTTCAGACCCGTTATGGCGTTGAAAAATGCGTCGAACCCGAGCACCACCGTCCTCCTTGATGTACATATTTGGGACGGATTTCAGCACAAAGACGGAGAATTCCCATCTGGGTTCTTTTTCCTCCGTCTTGTCTGACTCGCCGGAGAAGAAATTGATGTTCGAATCCGCGTGCTTCGGCCTCGAGATGATGAATTCGACCTGGGTTTTCACGAGCTGTCTCTCTGTGTCAGTGAATGGAGTTCTCTAAATTCGACCGTGTCAATGAAATGGAACTCTCTGAATTCGACCTTGGTGCTCTCTGAATTCGACCCTGGTAATCAACAGTCATTCCTTCATCCCGGATATCTTCAGCTTGCATCAAGTGCCGAACTTGACTCGCTAAAGGACCTTGTCCTCTCAAACAATCGGATTCGATGATTTGATACGATGAGGGAAGCGAGATGGAGAAAGAGGGTATAATTGGGTTTAAGAAAGTTTCATTAAACTTTACTATTCATCTGCCTACTTTGAAAAAAAGTTGGTTTTGAGAAGCAGCAAAATGCTGCTTCCATTTTTCTGCTTATTTTGGTTGGAACTTTGAAAAGAAGCACTTATTTTTACATTTACCAAAACATTTTACACCCAACTTTTTTTCATAGCTGCTTTTTTTATAATTTCAGCTGTACCAAACTGGTACTTAGACTTCTATGTATCATGCTCGAAAATAGCACGTCGTATGGTTTTAAAGTTTGTATGCACTATTCTTCTAAAAGGTAGTTTTGTAGGACAAATTGTGTTGTTCGAATCTTAACAATTGATATCAGATCGTTTATTGTACCACACAGATACACATTGTGGTCATACTTTTAGAATGGACGAATTTAACTAACCTTGGCAAAGAGAAGAAAATAAAACATCTTTAAAGCCTACAAAATTAGAAACCACTGAAAAGTTTTGGGTATATTTTAAAACTGATTATAAAACGATAAAAGCGATATTCTCAAAGTTATTCATTTATTTTGTTTAGAAGAAAAGCTCCTCAAAGCTTAAAATTAAAATGTTGTTTGGGCTAGTAAACAATATAATTCGGCCGAAAGTATCCATATGTTAGGAAAAAGCACCGAATCTTATCCGTTTTCTTCAAAGCGGCAATTCATTGAAATAAATTAGACTACGAAGTTTAAACCTGCAAAACTTAAAACTTTGCCAATTGTGCTATCTGCATACATTAGACCTGCCACAATTCACAGCAAAATAAAATTGATCATTTGGTTTCAAGGATAATTAAGAAGAAGAAAAAAAACCAAAATCGAACCAATCTAATGAATTTTGTTGGAGTGTGAAAAATGGCGTATGACACAAGTTTGCTGTTACTTGCGGTGTTGGTTAGAATGCGATACTTCCACCTTGAAAAATGGCGCATGACACAAGTTTGTTGTTACTTGCGGTGTTGGTTAGAATGCGATACTTCCACCTTTTGTTTTGTCTTATGTGATGGAATTATGTTTTTCCTTGTAACTTGTATAATGCAGCAAGAAGCAATACTAATGTCACAAAATATATTCAAAATCTTAAGAAACTCGAAGATTATAGATTTAGGTAACTGGCACGAGTAAACAAATCATATAAAACTAGAATTTTGTTTTCTTTGTGCAGTGCTTCTTTCGAACAGTTTTGATACAGACGTTGACGTTAAAATTGCAGGAGTTGGTAGAGACCACGTCCACATGAATATTTGAACAATTTGAGCAGAGTTTAACCTGCCAGAGATTTTGATGTACATGTTGAACTGCAAGGTACCAGCCAACACATATCTGAACGAACTATTCGCTTGGATTTTCCGTGCAAAACGATCAGCCAAATTAATAGTGAAGTTAAATTAATGAATTTGTTCGCACCCCTTTATACCACTCCTGCCTCTATACGAGCCTTTCCCACCACAACGCTCCTGTACGGCAACTATGCCGTGCTGTTGGCATACTTGAAGGCCACATTGTTATGGTTCAGGACGGATAGATTCACTTCGAGACTAACCTAGATGTCTTAAGGCCACGGAATCTACCATGGTTAGGGGGGTTGTTTCCATGTACACCGTCATGAATAAGATCAGTATTATAGCAGATATTACAACAAGAATGGAGGCCACTGCCAGGGCTATGTTTATGAGTCGGACAATTTTGTTTTACAATCACTTCTTGCATACTATGAACATCTTTTTTTGGGGCCTCTTCATGAAAAGACATACTAACTTAAATGCATAATTTCTCTCTTCTTCGTTGCATGTCTTCCTAAACTTCTGCATGCCCTTCATCCCTAATTTGTTAATAAATCATTCAACTCTAACTGTAGCTTGAACTGAGCAGCATGCTTAAATCTCATTGATGTAGCATATACGTACGTGTTTGGGCCCAAAATATTACTTTAGGCCGAGCTTAGAGCCACTCTCAGCCCAATAATCTTCTAAAATTATCATGAGCCGTTCAATCATCATGGGCCATCCAGTGAGGATCGGCCAAATCCTATCATGAGGGGGATTGGTTTACATAAAAGTGGGATAGTCAAAACCTAGTGTACCAAGGAGTCTTTAAGGCTAAGACCTAGGAGATGAATCTGGTTTGTTAAAGAGCTTGGTTCAAAGTCCTATTGGAGTTAGAATTGGCTGAGACCTAATTATATTAGGATGAGGAGTTCTAATCCGAGTACACTTTTTGCTCGGCTAGTGAGGGGGTTTGCTACTATAAATAGAGAAGGGAGTGCATCATTCAAAAGCCTCTCCAATTCAACACACAAATTGCCTTGCGCAAAGCTTCTCAACAACTATGAGATTTTATCCTTCTCCCTTTTCTTCCCGCCAACACATCTTCAGTTTGAATAAACAGCATTGTGAAGGCAACAAGCAACGTCTTCAGTTTGGATAGACATCACTGGAGCCGTAGAATCAGTCGACCGAAGAGCACCTTCAGTTTGGATAGATAGCACTGCTTCGAGGCCGACTGGTTATTTATCCAAATCTCGGTCGAGAAGGATTTTCGAATCCTTGTTGGCAAATGTCATATCATTAGCCTTCTCGGCGAAGTGAGGTGTGACAAATTACTAGGCTTGGCACATTGAACGCTGAGTTGTTTTATGATTGGATACTTGCAAGTAAGTTTCAGAGTTTGGCATTCCGATGGCCAAACCACATTTACCATTAAGACATACATCTCTTTTGAGTATTTGTGTCTATATAGTCTGGTGTCAGTTCGACGTGCTTATACTCTCACGAATATAATCATCGTGACCGAACCTGGTGCTGACGATTTGTGAACTTGGCAGAACTAGCATCCTTGCCTTCAGGCTCTAGAACCCAAAGGCCCGAGACGTGTTCCTTTCTCAGCTGCAATCGTGAGACGCAGAAGTCAACAGTGCATCCAACGCATCAACACATTTTACTCCCTGGCCAAGCTCGGCCTACGAGTTGGCACACCCCGCACATAACTGAAGGACGTAGTTAGCTTATTAGTTACTCGGCCTGCGTGCCACGTAGGCTTGGTAGTTTTTAGGGTCAACAGTACACTAGGCCAGTTGATCATAAAAGTGGTGCTCGTCACCTTCACATTCTGTTTAAACTGCTACTTCCCCAAAATATAGTATGGTTGCGTATGCTTAAAAAGTTTAAGGTGCTATCAAAGGGAAACGTAAAAGTTGTGTTCGATGTAACAATGCAGAGACTACTATAAGAGAAAATGATCTTATAATCTTATTTGATGTGAAGTACGACAACTCAATACTACAATTATTTGTAGATCAAATTTGAAGAACAAGAATAAATTGGAACACTAATAAAAACATGTCTTGACACGAGAACTACAAAAGGGATTGTAACTTTTGTGAGTCTATTTGCACCTATAGTCCCCAACAGTCTTGCTACGGATATCGATGTCAAAACCGCACAAGTTGGTGGAGGTCACAGCAACCTTATCCATTCCAAAGATCTTCACTTTGCCGGGAACTTTGGTGAAAGTGTTGAAAGGCATGCTACCCGCCAACATATCATAACTAACCGCGGGGTTGCCCATCAAACGATCAGCCAAAGCGGTGAGCGTAACATTCGTGCTTGTGGTGGCTCCCGGCGCTATATTTCCTACCTCTATAGCAGCCTCACCGACGTTCACGCCCTTGTAGAATAAGATTGCAGTGCCCTTGGCGGGCTTGAAGGCCACCTTGTTGCCGTTCTTGATAGAGAGAGACATTACCATAGTGATGAGTTTAGGCGCATGGTGAGAAATTTCTAGGTTTCTTAAGACCAGTGCATCCACCAGGGTTATGGGGTCCTTCGGCTTGTAATTCGTAAGCTCTATGATCAGCATTATAAAAAAAATTATGGCCACAAGAACTACGATCGCTGCCAGGGAGGCGAGTACCGGCTTTTGTTTCAGCATCGTTTTTAGCTTGGATAGCTCCATACTTTGTTCTTGTTCTTGCTATATTTTCAGGGCGACCTTGGTTTACCTGCATCCTATGGTTTGAACCCTTTACTTTTATATACTTCTCTCAATTCGCTTGCATGTCTTTCTTAAATCGGCATGCTCTACCTCTCCCCCTGTCATTAAATTCTCAAATCCCACCATATCTTGGATTCAGCATGCTTATATCGACGATCAATCTGGGCGTGCTTAAACAATTTCAAGCCAATCGAGCTAGAAGACACTATTGAAGAGACGGGTAAATATCGTGCCCGATGTGTCAATGTAGCAGGGTGAAAAAGTTGTGAACTTATTAGCTATAAGAAACAACTGCATGTCATGCAGGAAGGAATGAGCTCATATAATTATCTCATTTTATGAAGATCTCAAAGTTTTTCTTGTTTGGTCCCTTTAAGATTTTATTTGGTCAACCAAAAGAAGAGTTTGGGATTTGAGTTGAGAAATGCAATTTATGTTCAAAATATGAAATCCCACATCGGAAAATTAAGTTTACAACTTGAAACAGAGAAGTGATGTTGCACATCTGGTCACAACTCTTATGAGTTATGAGCAATTTTGAAGCAGATTGTTTCATTCTTTCACAGACTTGGTTTAACATGAAGAAATTAAAGGAATGATAATTATTGATAGGGTGAGTCGTACGTCGTATAAGGCTGATTCTGACAGTTTATACTTATTTTTATAAATTCAACAAGCGTGAATAGTCACACTCGTACTTTATAGTTTCACAAATACGAATGCCTAAGATTAGTCCCTGCACCAGCACGACTCATCTTAACAATTCTCTCGAAGAAATGAAATGAAATATATTTAATCGCAACACCATTAGAATCAGCAGAAATCCAAGACTCATACAATAAAATGTTTTGGGAAATGTCATGTAGCAAATAATTCAAAATACACTACAAGAGTGGCAAATCAGTAAATTCAGCTCGCACAAGCAGACAGACCATAAAAATCCAGAAAATAAGAAAATCCGAGGGCAAGCCAAAAACAAAAATCATAGTTTTATCTTGTATGTGCAGTGTTGCTGTCCGACAGTGATGTTACCGACATCGACACTGAAGTCGCAGGAGGAGGTCGAAACGACATGAATCTTAAAAATCCCCAAAACGCTGGCTTCTCCGGAGACTTTGGTCAAAGTGTTCAACGGCAGCGTTCCGGCCACCACGTCCGAAAAGAGCTCCGACTTCCCCAGCAGCCGATCCGCCATTATTGTCAGTGTCACGTTCATGGATTTGGTCCGGTCCGCGAATATCTTGCCCGACCCGATTTGGGCCTCGCCCACGTTGGTCCCTCTGTAGTTCAAAAACGCAGTGCTGTTTTTGTACTTGAACCCGACTTTATTCGGGTTATTCACGGATAGGTCCACGCCCAGAGTCAGGTTCACGTCCACGCTGAGACGTGGAATGTTGAGTGCCAAGTCGAGGTCTTTCAAGACGACGGAGTTGACCGTCGTGGTGGGATCCTTGGCTTTGAACACCGTCAGGCAGAGGATCACGAGTACGATGGTTGCGACCAACACAACAGCTGTCGCCGCCAGGCAGACGTTTCTGCAGGTTCGGGAGCGGCTGGGGGGGAAAGCATCTCCACCGTACACGGCTTTCATTGATCTCTCTGAAAATGCTTGATTGCCAAAAGATAATCTTTTTGTAACTGCCTTCTGTATAAAGGTGGAAGCTTTTGGTGGTGGGTTGATATTATAGTGGATGGAGTGTTGGGAGTATGCTAACGTAGGGGTTTGAGCCCAGAGAAGCTCCAAGACGTGTTAATGGGTTTGTGAGAAAAGTAATGCTATTCATGTTTAACACCATATTTCTATACCACATCATTTGAAAAATTTGCAAAATTCAAGGAAATGAAGAAGAAAGACTTCTCGTATACTACAATCATTATTTAATTAATTAGTTTTTCTTAATTATTAGTTTATTAAATAATAAACTATCAAATGCCAACTAATGTGGTGTGAAAATATAATACAAAAACATGGTATAAATAGTATTAGCCGGTTTTGAGACTTTTTCGGAGCCGACTAACCTAAATGGTTAGATTAGGGCTTTATTGGTGAAGTTGATTTTTGTGTACTTTAGCATAAATCTCTCATTCTCAATTCGTTGTATAAAAAAATTTATTAGCATAGATAAATTGAAAAATGTATCTAATTTGTGCATCTCAACACACTAACAAAAAAAAAAAAAAAAGCGGAAAGACCAAATTTATGTACAAAAGATTCATTTTCAAAGACTAAATTGATTACTATTTTTTGTGATTCACATGTTCTTTTTTCGTTGTCTTCAAATTTTTGTAAATCCGACTAAAGTTTTTAAAACACATCAATTCATGTTACTAACAAAAAATTTCATGGTTTTTAATGGTTGTATAGACTCATTGGTTGTTCACCCATTCGTCGGGGCTCGAAGAAAAGGAGAGTTAAGAAAGTCTATTTTTGCCATAAAAGTCCTGTTGGCAATGAGCCTTGAAGAAAAGGAAAGGTGAGAACAGCGGAAAAGGTGGCTTTTGCTTTTGGCAACGACTTATTTCCAAAATTTCCCTTAACCTTAGCATTGCCACTTTGCGAATGTGTTTGCATTATATGATACAAATTCCTATGTTATACATGCAAATAGTTATTAGAACATTTATCTGATGTTTTCTACCTCATTCAACAACTTAATTACACTCCCACTATTTTGGTTGGAAGTTGATTAGAAGAGTCTTCATTCCATCTACATCATTTCCCTTACAATTTATGCTGAAAATTACTTCCAAAATGTAATATGAAAAGTTTTGTTGGCATGTTAACTTTCAGAAGCATGAGATGAACGAATATGTCCTATTTGTACATGATATTTTATTTTTTCATCCTACAGCCTCCTGTGTTATCTTCAACTTCGACCTCAAAAGCCTTCCTTAACTTCTCTTTATCTATCTCAAATTCATAGCATAGTAATAAAAACATACTGCAAACAGTTTCACCATGCATTAAAATTTAGCAACACAATTCCTTGAGCTCTCAACATTATAAATAAATAAAAAAAGGTGTTAATGCAAAAGTCAAAAGATATAAATCACTTTCAATTGATAGAACTAAAAGATCACCAAAAAAAACAAGGACATAGTGTTGATACCTAATAAGAATGTCCAAAGTCTATTCCTGTTAACTTAGCATGGTCTTCTCTTGGCCGATTCTCCATCAACTCCTCCTGCTTAACCTCCATTATTTCAGTTGGCACCTCATTCCTCCCCTTCTTTTTACTTACTTTAATGTCACTTGCACCAGTAGTGGGATGGCTAGCACAACAGTTCCCGACCCACCAAACCAATCATTCCAAAATTTCCCCTAACCTTAGCGTTGGCACTTTCCGAATGTGTTTGCATTTTATGAATGGCCACCTATGTTATACATGCAAATAGTTATTAGAACATTTATCTGATGCTTTTTTACCTCATTCAACAACTTAATTACACTTCCATTGTTTTGGTTGGAAGTTAATTAGAAGAGTCTTCATTCCATCGACATCATTTCCTTTACAATTTATGCTAAAATGACTTGCAAAATGTAATATGAAAGGTTTAGTTGGCATGTTAACTTTCAGAAGCATGAGATGAACGACAATGAATGTGCATGATATATTTTTTTTTTATCCTACTGTGTTATCTTCATCTTCTGTCTCAAAAGCCTTCCTTAACTGCTTTTCATCTATCTCAAAAACCCTCCTTGCATGTTTCAGCTTTTCAGTACAACTTTTAACTTTTGGATATTTTTTTGCAATTTACCACATATTTGGCTGAGTGGAAAATAAGTTAGTAATCATGTATGAGTTCAGATTCCTTGAATGCTCAATATTTTAGTTGGATTCGAGTGGTGTGCTTTGTGCTGTGTGATGTGATTCAGAGATAGTTGGAATAGATTCTTTGAATATTTCTCACTTTTCTTTTTCCAATTTTGTAATGGAGTGGTGTGTTGTGTGCCTTCGTAATTCAATAATTAAGCTAAGTACTATTTGGAATTGAGCAAAATAATTGATAGAAACATAAACTAAATCCTTTGGAATGTATTGTGAAGATTTATGCATCAATTTTTGTTGCAGACCTATTTGTTGGGTCTCCGACAAAAGGGAAGGTAGGGAAAGTGTATTCCTGGTAATGAAAAGAAAAGGGTGAGTCAGTGACAGAAATTTGTGAGGATCCGATCTTTCAAAACAAATTCTTCCCTAAAAATCAAAAATTCCATTGGATTACTAATTCATGTTTACATTTTCATTCTCTTCCCCTTTTAAACAATCTTTTTCAGTTGTGTATGAATTGTTGCCTTCACTTTGTTTCTTTGATGACTCAAAATTGTAATATGAACCTGTGCTCTTTTATACATGCATTAAGTTCCAGTTCCAAGTTCACATGCATCTCTAGGTTCATTTCTTTCATTTTTAGAATCCTCAACTCCAATGGTTACCGATTTTCTTTCATTTCTGTTTTTCTTTTGGTAATTTATGTTTTAATTTTTCGTTCTCTTTCAATTTTCATAAATCCGAGTTTTTGAAATCACATACAATTCATGTTACTCTCAAAACTTTTGATGCTTTTACACACTCATTAGTTGCAGACCCATTTGCCAAGGCTCGAAGAAAAAGGAAGGGGGGAAGTTGTATTCTTGCCATAGATTTTCTGTTAGCAGTGAGGCTTAAAGAAAATGGAAGCTTATAACAGTGGAAGAGGTGGCTTTTTGCTTTTGGCCTTTTGTTTTCTTCATTTGCTAAATGTTGAGACTTGAGAAAAGAACTTCTAATGTTGAACACCCCAATTCAATGTGAAAACGTAACCTAATCATGTTAGCATACAAACTTGACTTTTAAATATTTGACAATTATATAATGTTCATATATAAATTAGAGGCATTCACATTAAGCTAACTCGATAGGAAACATATCTCACTGGTGCAATAGGAAATGTTAACATTAAACAATGATGATCTTTTTCCCCATCCGTTGCTTGACAGAGCTCATAGAAAAAATTTTCACCCTGTATAATGGAGAACAAACTAATCAACACATAGCCATAATCACTGCAAAATGACACATATTACTGTGTAGAAAAAGAGAACAAAAATTAGTTGAAGGCTTCATATATTTCTGTCTATTTAAATCATTACTTTACGTAAAGTGGAAACAAAAAACATAACTTTTTAGGACATGCATGGTAAAGAAAAAGTTTCTCTTTGCACAATACATTTAAAATATATCTTGACAATTACAATGAAAATGTAATACCCTGAAATTTTAAATATATGAATATACAGAGGAAAATCGAAGATAAATCGATTTAGGGTTATGGAAATAGAATTGGGAAATTTTAAAATTTTGTTCCGGAAATTATTATAATTTACGTATTTGGATTATTGAGATTTTATGTTTTTTTTTTCGAGGCATTATATTAATTTACTTGCATTTAGTTTTAAATTAAACTAGTTATGAAGTTTGACGTTCGGAAATTAATTAATTAAAATCTATAGACCTTTTGAGGTCACAATTTATATTTTTGAATATAGCTCGATATCACAAACGCGTAGGCGTAAACCGTTCGTGAAACGGAGTTATAACGAAGAAGTTATTAACGTTTAAAGTCAGTGATATTGGTAATTTTAATTCCATTTAGAAGACTCTAGAAATCTGGAGCAATAAGTTGTGCCACGTGTGTGGCTGTGATGAAAGGAAAGTAAATGATGGATGGCTGAGATTGAAAGAAAAATAATAGAAATGAGGGAAAGGAAGAGGAAAGAAAGGAGAGAAAATGACTTGCGAAAGGGGCGACCCGACCTAGGTTGGTGTTCTTGCCATTTCCGACAGATTTTAACCCTTTTTCCGGCGAATCCCATCAAACCACCACTTGGGAAACTCTCCATAAACTTCCCTCTTCCTATTACACCCCAAAAATCATGAGATTTGACCTTAAAAATTGGGAAAAACACATCAGTGGGTGCGCACGGTGATTGTTCGAAATCCACCAAATTGTGAAATGATGTCATCAAATTACCACTACTAGTAGACTCCCCTTGAGGCCTGGAACAAAGCCCACGCATTGGTTGGGGCGTCAGAGTTGTTTTGGAGTCGAATCAAGGACACCAAAAAACAAGGGTTTCCAGCGGTTCGTGGCCAATTTGAGGTGTTTCCCGGCCAAATTGGACTTGACCGCAGGTATAAAACTTGCTCCACTCATTGAGATCTACAAACCTGTAAAATTTGGTAGTTTTTAGAAATAGTTGAATTTTCCAGCGAGTCGGGTCGATCGACCTCCGCCCGCGGCGGCGCACAGCCAGGTAGCTGATATTGTGCTTTTATGCGAATTTCGTTATTCTAATTATGCTTTTGAGGTCTATCTGATGTGGTTTGAATATTAACACAATTGTGGTATATATATTGGATTAATTGAACATATTCGGTTTTGGTTTGAATTTTGGAAATGTGAACTACGAAAGGCTTGATCCTACTCAAGAGTACGTAAGTAGTCTAGCAGAGGTTAGATGCAGCCTTAAATAATCAAGAATTAATATTTAGATGGAATTTTGATCTAAGAGAAGGAAATGGTTCTAAATTGGAAGTGAAATTGTATGTG